CCAAGCTCATGTTAAAGACCAAACTACAAATGACTTATTTAACAACTGCAAACGAATGAGCCCGCGGGTGATCCAGTTCTACAATAACATGCAAAACTGAGGTGGAAGGAAGAAAGAAAGGTTGGAGAAAAATATGAGAATTCACAAATTCATGTTCTCATTACTACATCAACAAAACGTGTACACCTCAGACTAAAAGGTAACAGCTAGTAAGTGTTTAATCACAGAGAAACGAAACATGAAATATGTCTTTTGGTTGCTTAGTTTAGTAAATAAATAAAACCGTATAGATACTGTACAAAATAAATGTTCATCCACACTAATCATTATCATTATTAGAACGAACGAATGGAAAATGAAAAGAGTATCCTTGTTTTCATTGAAAAAAAATAGAAACCAATTCTGTTGTATGGTACTGAAGTGTAGGGTAATAATAAAAAAAATTAAGGCTGAAAATGTACATTTAACTGCATGTAAGACATTATTAAATGTTGGTTCTCAAATACCAAATGTAATTGTTTATGATGAACGAGGACGAAACCCACTGTACATTATTAATGCACATAGGTTTATCATATGTTAATGCATTATGATAATTGTGGTTATGATAACTCTTTTTTATCTGTGGCTAGTTTATTGTTTTAATATTAATTTGGTTATGTTTGGTTATTTCAAGGTGTCCGTAATAGAGTCCAGTTAAATAATCCTTTAGAAATGGTGTTAAACTCTTAGAAGTAAGTTTAGATTAGATGTAATATTTAAGTACTCAATCGTGATGTCACAAATAATTAAGCTATTTGTTAAAAACAACATCTTGAGAGTATTTCATATTTTTGAGGTCTACTTTGAACCATTTGAATTCAAAACGAAATATTCTGATCACAGAAGCATATACTACATGTGAATTATGAACATTGTACATGTTGTAGTTATACTGAAGAATGACGTGCATGAAACAGTGGCACCGGTACAAACCTAGTTGTCATGGTTACGCAGGCATGCCGCACTTCGACAATAAGCCAGATCCCTCTTAAAAACGGTGAAGTGGTGTCCCGCACATAGCGAACACGACCCAACACATGTTAGCTTTATGTGTATGAGTGAGTGAATGAGTCGATGGTTCATGTCCCTACCTTCACTGTAAAATGTCTTAATAACGACACATTATGATATCAACCTACATATCATTTTGCATCATTTCCAATAAAATGACCCTTTTGGTTTTCTGGCACGTTCTGTACTAGGAGTTGAATATTTGTGAAGGCCCGTGGTTTTACGGTTTATTCTCTGGCATCATGACGGAGCGACACAATATTTTTCTGTTACATTGTAGCCATGTTGGAATCGAACCTGGTATCCGATGTGAGTGAGTGAGTTGGTGGGTTGGTTGTGACGCTGATGTGAACCACGGGCTCATATCGTTAAGTGATGCCGTGTGTCATGTGGATTGTACACAAATCACGGTGAAACTACTTTCGTGCCACATTATGTTATTTACATGATTGACTTTTAGATAGAAAGAGTGTGCCGACATCTGGTTTGAAAATGTCGGGAATGATTGTTAACAACAGGAAGTACGTGAATTATACTATCGATATATCACCGATCAATTCCAGCGCATTTCCACTTGGCCACATGCAAGGTGTAAACTTAAACCTATGGATATATAGAGAATCTCACCCAAGTGTCTTCTGACATCAAATATATTTGATATATATTTTACCGCCCATGCGTGTAATAAATAGATTACAAAACGAGTGGGTGTCGAATACGGAAAATATTCCAACGAGATATTTTTGAACATTTTGATTTATTCACGAGCGAATATCGTAATGAGATAAGTAATATAACGTGTGCAATAAGATGTTATATCCACAGTGACTGACGAGGGTGTAACGCTGTATTAACTCTGTATATCCACCATTGACAGAGTTTGGTGTTGACCAATACTAAATATATGAACGTGGTAAACCGGCATTCGAACCCACTGTCATAGCTTCAGACACACCCTAGGAACGCATACTGAACACTCTCGGGATGCCATTGCCCGATGTTATGATGTCATAGGGAACTTTACTGTTCTTTTCTATGTTGGGGTATGACTATTTTTTTTGGGATTGCCTCTTTGTCTTGCTGATTTTGCTTTATAGACGACTCATCACATATTTGTAGTGACCCATTCACATAATTTTACTGTGTTCTGCCTTCCGCAGATCACTGAGAGTGAGCGAGTGAGTGAGTGAGTTTAGTTTTATGCTGCTTTTAGAAGTATTCCAGCAATATCTCGGCGGGGCACACCAGAAATGGGCTTCACACATTGTACCCAATTGGAGACTCGAGCCCGGGTCATCGGCATGACAAGGGAAGGCTTGAACTACTTCGCCCCTTTACGTCTATGTTTGTAAAGTAAGGTTGATTTCATATGTACTGTATATGTAGCATAGTAGTTATATTTGCAATTTATTTTAATTATTTACCAATAAATTTGTAAATGTACGAGTGTGGACGGATTTAATTATTTTCTAGACCAGTTGCAAATGTCTTAATGTTTAATTTCCAAAATGTATTCCTGGATATAGTGCTGTAGGTACACACACATGATGACAGCATTGAACATACCTGGATATAGTGCTGGAGGTACACACATGATGACAGCATTAAACATACCTGGATATAGTGCTCGAGGTACACACATGATGACAGCATTGAACATACCTGGATATAGTGCTACAGGTACACACATGATTACAGCATTGAACATACCTGGATATAGTGCTCGAGGTACGCATATGATGACAGCATTGAACATACCTGGATATAGTGCTCGAGGTACGCATATGATGACAGCATTGAACATACCTGGATATAGTGCTACAGGTACACACACATATGACATTATTGGATACAAATGTATATAGTGCTACAGGTACACACACATGATGACAGTATTGGACAAACCTGGATAAAGTGCCGCAGGTACCCACAAATGTAGACAGTACTGGATACACCTGGATATAGAGCTACAGGTAGACACACATGTAGACAGCATTGGATACACCTGGATAGAGTGCTGCAAGTACACACATATGCTGACAGCATTGAACATACCTGGATATAGTGCTGCAGGTACACATGATGACAGCATTCAACATACCTGGATATAGTGCTCGAGGTACACACACATGATGACAGCATTGCATATTCCTGGATATAGTGCTCGAGGTACACACATGATGACAGCATTGAACATACCCGGATATAGTGCTCGAGGTACGCATATGATGACAGCATTGAACATACCTGGATATAGTGCTCGAGGTACACACATGATGACAGCATTGAACATACCTGGATATAGTGCAACAGGTACACACATGATGACAGCATTGAACATACCTGGATACAGTGCTGCAGGTACACACATGATGACGGCATTGAACATACCTGGATATAGTGCTACAGGTACACACATGATGACAGCATTGAACATACCTGGATATATGCTACAGGTACACACATGATGACAGTACTGGACACACCTGGATATAGTGCTACAGGTAGACACACATGATGGCAGTATTGGACACACCTGGATTTCGTGCTACAGGTACACACCCATAATGACAGTATTGGATACACCTGGATATAGTGCTACAGGTACACACACGTGATGACAGCAATGAATACACCTGGATACAGTGCTACAGGTACACAGACATATGACAATATTGGACACAAATGTATATAGTGCTACAGGTACACACACATGATGACAGTATTAGACAAACCTGGATATAGTGCCGCAGGTACACACAAATGTAGACAGTACTGGATACACCTGGATATAGTGCTACAGGTAGACACACATGTAGACAGCATTGGATACACCTGGATAGAGTGCTGCAAGTACACACATGATGACAGCATTGAACATACCTGGATATAGTGCTCGAGGTACACACATGATGACAGCATTGAACACACCTGGATATAGTGCTCGAGGTACACACATGATGACAGCATTGAACATACCTGGATATAGTGCCCGAGGTACACACATGATGACAGCATTGAACATACCTGGATATAGTGCTCGAGGTACACACACATGACGGCAGCATTGCTTATTCCTGGATATAGTGCTCGAGGTACACACATGATGACAGCATTGAACATACCTGGATATAGTGCTCGAGGTACACACATGATGACAGCATTGAACATACCTGGATATAGTGCTCGAGGTACACACATGATGACAGCATTGAACATACCTGGATATTGTGCTGCAGGTACACACATGATGACGGCATTGCATATTCCTGGATATAGTGCTCGAGGTACACATACATGATGACAGCATTGCATATTCCTGGATCTAGTGCTCGAGGTACACACATGATGACAGCATTCAACATACCTGGATATAGTGCTCGAGGTACGCATATGATGACAGCATTGAACATACCTGGATATAGTGCTCGAGGTACACACATGATGACAGCATTGAACATACCTGAATATAGTGCTCGAGGTACACACATGATGACAGCATTCAACATACCTGGATATAGTGCTGCAGGTACACACATGATGACAGCATTGAACATACCTGGATATAGTGCTACAGGTACACACATGATGACAGCATTGAACATACCTGGATATATGCTACAGGTACACACATGATGACAGTACTGGACACACCTGGATATAGTGCTACAGGTAGACACACATGATGGCAGTATTGGACACACCTGGATTTCGTGCTACAGGTACACACCCATAATGACAGTATTGGATACACCTGGATTTCGTGCTACAGGTACACACACGTGATGACAGCAATGAATACACCTGGATACAGTGCTACAGGTACACACACATATGACATTTTTGGATACAAATGTATATAGTGCTACAGGTACACACACATGATGACAGTATTGCACAAACCTGGAGAGAGTGCCGCAGGTACCCACAAATGTAGACAGTACTGGATACACCTGGATATAGTGCTACAGGTAGACACACATGTAGACAGCATTGGATACACCTGGATAGAGTGCTGCAAGTACACACATATGCTGACAGCATTGAACATACCTGGATATAGTGCTCGAGGTACACACATGATGACAGCATTGAACACACCTGGATATAGTGCTGCAGGTACACATGATGACAGCATTCAATACAGCTGGATATAGTGCTCGAGGTACACACACATGATGACAGCATTGCATATTCCTGGATATAGTGCTACAGGTACACACATGATGACAGCATTGAACATACCTGGATATAGTGCTCGAGGTACACACATGATGACAACATTGAACATACCTGGATATAGTGCTACAGGTACACACATGATGACAGCATTGAACATACCCGGATATAGTGCTGCAGGTACACACATGATGACGGCATTGCATATTCCTGGATATAGTGCTCGAGGTACACACACATGATGACAGCATTGCATATTCCTGGATCTAGTGCTCGAGGTACACACATGATGACAGCATTGAACATACCTGGATATAGTGCTACAGGTACACACATGATGACAGCATTGAACATACCTGGATATAGTGCTACAGGTACACACATGATGACAGCATTGAACATACCTGGATATAGTGCTACAGGTACACACATGATGACAGCATTGAACATACCTGGATATATGCTACAGGTACACACATGATGACAGTACTGGACACACCTGGATATAGTGCTACAGGTAGACACACATGATGGCAGTATTGGACACACCTGGATTTCGTGCTACAGGTACACACCCATAATGACAGTATTGGATACACCTGGATATAGTGCTACAGGTACACACACATGATGACAGCAATGAATACACCTGGATACAGTGCTACAGGTACACACACACATATGACATTATTGGATACAAATGTATATAGTGCTACAGGTACACACATGATGACAGTATTGGACAAACCTGGATAAAGTGCCGCAGGTACCCACAAATGTAGACAGTACTGGATACACCTGGATATAGTGCTACAGGTAGACACACATGTAGACAGCATTGGATACACCTGGATAGAGTGCTGCAAGTACACACATATGCTGACAGCATTGAACATACCTGGATATAGTGCTCGAGGTACACACATGATTACAGCATTGAACACACCTGGATATAGTGCTCGAGGTACACACATGATGCCAGCATTGAACATACCTGGATATAGTGCCCGAGGTACACACATGATGACAGCATTCAACATACCTGGATATAGTGCTGCAGGTACACACATGATGACGGCATTGAACATTCCTGGATATAGTGCCCGAGGTACACACATGATGACAGCATTGAACATACCTGGATATAGTGCTTGAGGTACACACATGATGACAGCATTGAACATACCTGGATATAGTGCCCGAGGTACACACATGATGACGGCATTGAACATACCTGGATATAGTGCTACAGGTACACATGATGACAGCATTCAACATACCTGGATATAGTGCTCGAGGTACACACATGATGGCAGTATTGCATATTCCTGGATATAGTGCTCGAGGTACACACATGATGACAGCATTGAACACACCTGGATATAGTGCTGCAGGTACACATGATGACAGCATTCAACATACCTGGATATAGTGCTCGAGGTACACACACATGATGACAGCATTGCATATTCCTGGATATAGTGCTCGAGGTACACACATGATGACAGTATTGAACATACCTGGATATAGTGCTGCAGGTACACACATGATGACGGCATTGAACATACCTGGATATAGTGCCCGAGGTACACACATGATGACAGCATTGAACATACCTGGATATAGTGCTCGAGGTACACACATGATGACAGCATTCAACATACCTGGATATAGTGCCCGAGGTACACACATGATGACGGCATTGAACATACCTGGATATAGTGCTACAGGTACACATGATGACAGCATTCAACACACCTGGATTTCGTGCTACAGGTACACACCCATAATGACAGTATTGGATACACCTGGATATAGTGCTACAGGTACACACACATGATGACAGCAATGAATACACCTGGATACAGTGCTACAGGTACACACACATATGACATTATTGGATACAAATGTATATAGTGCTACAGGTACACACACATGATGACAGTATTGGACAAACCTGGATAAAGTGCCGCAGGTACCCACAAATGTAGACAGTACTGGATACACCTGGATATAGTGCTACAGGTAGACACACATGTAGACAGCATTGGATACACCTGGATAGAGTGCTGCAAGTACACACATATGCTGACAGCATTGAACATACCTGGATATAGTGCTCGAGGTACACACATGATTACAGCATTGAACATACCTGGATATAGTGCTCGAGGTACACACATGATGCCAGCATTGAACATACCTGGATATAGTGCTCGAGGTACACACATGATGACAGCATTGAACATACCTGGATATAGTGCTGCAGGTACACACATGATGACGGCATTGAACATTCCTGGATATAGTGTCCGAGGTACACACATGATGACAGCATTGAACATACCTGGATATAGTGCTCGAGGTACACACATGATGACAGCATTCAACATACCTGGATATAGTGCCCGAGGTACACACATGATGACGGCATTGAACATACCTGGATATAGTGCTACAGGTACACATGATGACAGCATTCAACATACCTGGATATAGTGCTCGAGGTACACACATGATGCCAGCATTGCATATTCCTGGATATAGTGCTGCAGGTACACACATGATGACAGCATTGAACACACCTGGATATAGTGCTGCAGGTACACATGATGACAGCATTCAACCTACCTGGATATAGTGCTCGAGGTACACACACATGATGACAGCATTGCATATTCCTGGATATAGTGCTCGAGGTACACACATGATGACAGTATTGAACATACCTGGATATAGTGCTGCAGGTACACACATGATGACGGCATTGAACATACCTGGATATAGTGCCCGAGGTACACACATGATGACAGCATTGAACATACCTGGATATAGTGCTCGAGGTACACACATGATGACAGCATTCAACATACCATGATATAGTGCCCGAGGTACACACATGATGACGGCATTGAACATACCTGGATATAGTGCTACAGGTACACATGATGACAGCATTCAACATACCTGGATATAGTGCTCGAGGTACACACATGATGGCAGCATTGCATATTCCTGGATATAGTGCTCGAGGTACACACATGATGACAGCATTGAACACACCTGGATATAGTGCTGCAGGTACACATGATGACAGCATTGAACATACCTGGATAAAGTGCTACAGGTACACACATGATTACAGCATTGAACATACCTGGATATATGCTACAGGTACACACATGATGACAGTACTGGACACACCTGGATATAGTGCTACAGGTAGACACACATGATGGCAGTATTGGACACACCTGGATTTCGTGCTACAGGTACACACCCATAATGACAGTATTGGATACACCTGGATATAGTGCTACAGGTACACACACATGATGACAGCAATGAATACACCTGGATACAGTGCTACAGGTACACACACATATGACATTATTGGATACAAATGTATATAGTGCTACAGGTACACACACATGATGACAGTATTGGACAAACCTGGATAAAGTGCCGCAGGTACCCACAAATGTACACAGTACTGGATACACCTGGATATAGTGCTACAGGTAGACACACATGTAGACAGCATTGGATACACCTGGATAGAGTGCTGCAAGTACACACACATATGCTGACAGCATTGAACATACCTGGATATAGTGCTCGAGGTACACACATGATTACAGCATTGAACACACCTGGATATAGTGCTCGAGGTACACACATGATGCCAGCATTGAACATACCTGGATATAGTGCCCGAGGTACACACATGATGACAGCATTGAACATACCTGGATATAGTGCTGCAGGTACACACACATGATGACGGCATTGAACATTCCTGGATATAGTGCCCGAGGTACACACATGATGACAGCATTGAACATACCTGGATATAGTGCTCGAGGTACACACATGATGACAGCATTGAACATACCTGGATATAGTGCCCGAGGTACACACATGATGACGGCATTGAACATACCTGGATATAGTGCTACAGGTACACATGATGACAGCATTCAACATACCTGGATATAGTGCTCGAGGTACACACATGATGGCAGTATTGCATATTCCTGGATATAGTGCTCGAGGTACACACATGATGACAGCATTGAACACACCTGGATATAGTGCTGCAGGTACACATGATGACAGCATTCAACATACCTGGATATAGTGCTCGAGGTACACACACATGATGACAGCATTGCATATTCCTGGATATAGTGCTCGAGGTACACACATGATGACAGTATTGAACATACCTGGATATAGTGCTGCAGGTACACACATGATGACGGCATTGAACATACCTGGATATAGTGCCCGAGGTACACACATGATGACAGCATTGAACATACCTGGATATAGTGCTCGAGGTACACATGATGACAGCATTCAACATACCTGGATATAGTGCCCGAGGTACACACATGATGACGGCATTGAACATACCTGGATATAGTGCTACAGGTACACATGATGACAGCATTCAACACACCTGGATTTCGTGCTACAGGTACACACCCATAATGACAGTATTGGATACACCTGGATATAGTGCTACAGGTACACACATGATGACAGCAATGAATACACCTGGATACAGTGCTACAGGTACACACACATATGACATTATTGGATACAAATGTATATAGTGCTACAGGTACACACACATGATGACAGTATTGGACAAACCTGGATAAAGTGCCGCAGGTACCCACAAATGTAGACAGTACTGGATACACCTGGATATAGTGCTACAGGTAGACACACATGTAGACAGCATTGGATACACCTGGATAGAGTGCTGCAAGTACACACATATGCTGACAGCATTGAACATACCTGGATATAGTGCTCGAGGTACACACATGATTACAGCATTGAACATACCTGGATATAGTGCTCGAGGTACACACATGATGCCAGCATTGAACATACCTGGATATAGTGCCCGAGGTACACACATGATGACAGCATTCAACATACCTGGATATAGTGCTGCAGGTACACACATGATGACGGCATTGAACATTCCTGGATATAGTGCCCGAGGTACACACATGATGACAGCATTGAACATACCTGGATATAGTGCTCGAGGTACACACATGATGACAGCATTGAACATACCTGGATATAGTGCCCGAGGTACACACATGATGACGGCATTGAACATACCTGGATATAGTGCTACAGGTACACATGATGACAGCATTCAACATACCTGGATATAGTGCTCGAGGTACACACATGATGGCAGCATTGCATATTCCTGGATATAGTGCTC